ACTACAAAGTCGCCAGTTCTCATCTTCCAGCTCCACAGATTGCTCCGCGTACTTGAAGTTGTACTAGAAAGTTGCCGGTTCTCATCTTCCAGCTCGCCAGATACTCCGCGTACTAAAGTTGCACTACAAAGTCGCCAGTTCTCAGCTTCCAGCTCCACAGATTGCTCCTCGTACTAAAGTTGTACTACAAAGTCGCCAGTTCTCAGATACTCCGCGTACTAAAGTTGTACTACAAAGTCGCCAGTTCTCATCTTCCAGCTCCCCAGACACTCCGCGTACTAAAGTTGTACTGCAAAGTCACCCATTCTCAGCTTCCAGCTACACAGATTGCTCCGCGTACTAAAGTTGTACTAGAAAGTCGCCAGTTCTCATCTTCCAGCTCCCCAGATACTCCGCGTACTAAAGTTGTACTAGAAAGTCGCCAGTTCTCATCTTCCAGCTCCCCAGATACTCCGCGTACTCAAGTTGTAAAACAAAGTCGCCAGTTCTCATCTTCCAGCTCCGCACATACTCCGCGTACTAAAGTTGTACTACAAAGTCGCCAGTTCTCAGCTTCGAGCTCCACAGATGCTGTGCCTGCCACGAAATCTGCGCATGGAGGTTCACAAAGTGCCACGAAATCTGCGCATGGAGGTTCACAAAGTGCTGTGCCTGCCATGAAATCTGCGCATTGAGGTTCACAAAGTGCTGTGCCTGCCACGAAATCTGCGCATGGAGGCTCACAGAGTGCTGTGCCTGCCACGAAATCTGCGCATGGAGGTTCACAAAGTGCTGCGCCTGCCACGAAATCTGCGCATGGAGGTTCGCAAAGTGCTGTGCCTGCCACGAAATCTGCGCATGGAGGTTCTGCGCTTCAAGAAACAAGTGAAAACTCTAACCACAATGGAGGGACGATTCCAAGCATGACCCGAGAATGATCCGACCATGACCCGAGACCGTCTCGCAACCGTCGTTCCGCGGAGCTTCCCCGTCGAGGTTCGGAGAAGCATGGAGGTTCACAATGTGCTGCGCCTGCCACGAAATCTGCGCATGGAGGTTCACAAAGTACTGCGCCTGCCACGCAATCTGCGCGTGGAGGTTCACAAAGTGCTGCGCCTGCCACGAAATCTGCGCATGGAGGTTCGCAAAGTGCTGTGCCTGCGCATGGAGGTTCTGCGCTTCAAGAAACAAGTGAGAAAACTCAAACCGCAATGGAGGGACGATTCCGAACATGATCCGAGAATGATCCGACCATGACCCGAGACCGTCTTGCAACCGTTCCCCGGAGCTTCCCCGTCGAGGTTCGGAGAAGCATGGAGGTTCAAAAAGTGCTGTGCCTGCCACGAAATCTGCGCATGGAGGTTCACAAGCGCTGCGCCTGCCACGAAATCTGCACATGGAGGTTCACAAAGTGCTGTGCCTGCCACGAAATCTGCACTTCAAGAAACAATTGAAAACTCTAATCACAATGGAGGGACGATTCCGACCATGATCCGAGAATGATCCGACCATGACCCGAGACCGTCTCGCAACCGTCGTTCCGCGGAGCTTCCCCGTCGAGGTTCGGAGAAGCATGGAGGTTCACAAAGTGCTGTGCCTGCCACGAAATCTGCACATGGAGGTTCACAAAGTACTGCGCCTGCGACGCAATCTGCGCATGGAGGTTCACAAAGTGCTGCGCCTGCCACGAAATCTGCACATGGAGGTTCACAAAGTGCTGTGCCTGCCACGTAAACTGGCGCTAGAGCTGTTGAAACTGGAGCTAACTGGAGGTAGAGCCATTGAAACTATTGGAGCTAGAGCTATTGAAAGTAGAGCCAACTGGAAGTAGACCTATTGAAACTAGAGCTAGCTGGAGCTAGAGCTATTGAAACCAGAGCTACCTGGAGCTAGAGCTCTTGAAACTAGAGATAACTGGATGATCAGAGGTGTATGATGAGTGGTGTATGATGAGTGGTGTATGATGAGTGGTGTATGATGAGTGGTGTATGATGAGTGGTGTAATGATGAGTGGTGTACTGATAAGTGGTGTATGATGAGTGGTGTATGATGAGTGGTGTATGATGAGTGGTGTTTGATGAGTGATGTAAATGTTCGTAACACGGAAGTCCCTCTAAACTTCTTTTGGCAAGAGTCTTGGTGTTTTAGAACGGAGAAACTCAAAGTAAATACTTGCCTGCTGTTCATCCAAAGGACAAGGTAGACGCGTTTCATTGGACTCATGACAATCAGTTGAGGCAGCCAGCTGGATGCAGTTCTGGCTTCGCAGAACCACGTGCAGGAGGTGGCTGTTGCGAGACATGCGCCATTGTGGATACCGACACCTGCAACGTTACACACGATGCACTTGATTGCCCGGCCGTAAGGGAGACATGGCAGCTGATTCTGTTTTTTTACAATTGCTTCAAAACGGACCATCGGGGAATGCTGTTAATTGGATCAATTATCAAAGTTTTGACCGTCATGGAACAAGGAATGACAATGCGGAAAGGTGAGGATTGTATAGATTCATATATGTGGTGTTATTGAGTATTCACGCGTGTTATTGGGTGTACGCTTTTGAGACTAATGCTCTAATGCGTATATAATGCGTTTTTCCTTGCCGTGCTGAAAGCCTCGAAGCGACACGGTCGAAGCTTTGTGAGGCGGTGTCAGTCTTGAAGGACAAGCACCTTGTAGAGACGCTGATGCACCTTGTAGACAGCAGTACAGACAAGCAGCCTTCCCAAACTTTCTCCAAGATTCGCAGGACAACTCGCTCGCGCTTGGGCGAGGTCGAGCAACACTGTGCCTACCTTAAAGAGATTCATTCGGCCTGCTTGGTGATGCTGCGAAGAGAGGAAAGCGACGGGGACTAAGGCATGGCTCATTGGACGGTGCGGGCATTTGTTGTGTCAAGCTTGTACAGAAGATGTTGTTTTCATGATGCTCAGGCAATGCGGTAGTCATGACCAGAGAGTGTAAAGCAGCCTGAAGGACCCCCAAGAGGCGCAATATCTGCTCGTCCACCTGCAGACAGCATGGACGAGGAGCGAGACAGGGACATGGAGTGATGAAGACTGAAACGTCCTTGCTGTGAACTTTGCATGCTTTGGCCAACTCATAGTGTAGGATGCAGATTCCGTGCAATACGAGCAGGCCTGTTGGGAAATTTGAGAAACACATAGAAAAAAAAGGAAGCAGGTGCTTCGTGAGCAATGCAATCGAGGTTCAATACAACCTCGACCAAGAACTGAAGAAGGTGCGAGACAGCGTGCAAAGAGTGGTTTTGATGTAAGTCTGGAGCGTATCTTTCTTTGGAAGGTGGAAGCAAAATATGTGGAGACCGGATCTTGACTCAGGGGGTAGTAGAGAGTGGCCTCTTTCCCCTTTCGACGTTGGATGATTTTGTTCAGCTTCAGTCGATGCGAACCTCGAGTTCATTCCACACAAGAGCTACAAGGAAGATGCTTCAACAACACAATTTGCATAGCACTGATGGTTTGAGTCAGCATAGATTTCGACTTGGCAGGATGAGCTTACGGATTTGATGCTGAAAGCTGAATACGAGGCATCCGCTCTGTTAGTTTCCGGAGATGGTACCATCGATCACTACTCGGAATACGTCAACTCCATGGAATAGCTGTATGTTTCCGTCCTCACAAGCCTTCGGCCAAAAGTTGATCATCCGTGGGCAAAGTCTGAAAGGTAGAAAGATGTAGAAAGTATATAGGCGAAGCAATCTGAGTGATGGAGTGATGTGCAGCTTTGGAGAAGTGCACCAAGACCTTGGAGAGGATACTCTTTGGATCTCTTTAAATTCACTCACTCTCCCCGAGGAGAACACAGGATTCAAATACCGTCCGGGCCTGTGTGCAATTCAGTGAAGGGTTCTCCAGTGAGGCTATAGAGGATAGAAGGTAAGATTGTTGGCAAGATGCAATAGCTCTTTTGTAGAGCTTTTGCTGGAGACCGAGGGCATATGACCTGGCGGGAGAAAGTGAAGACCATGACTGCCTCCCAGAAAGGGGCGCTCATTGATGCCTTGACCGGTGCCTTGACTTGATTCTATATTGATTTGACTCTTAAGTTCCGTCCAAAGAACAAACAGATGCAGCATGAACGATCCACCATGTCTTTCGTGTGCAGAATTCTTGGGACATGGAACGAAGCCAAGCAGGTGCCTTGGTCATTGCCAACACAGTAGTCATTGGTCTCAGCGCAGATGATGTTGGCTGGGTAGGCGGGGGGTCGATCTTGAGCACCTGGCGGTGGCATCGGCGTTTTGGATTCACTCCGCTTGCGTGACGCCATGGGAGTTTGAGTAAGCGAGGGATTTGGACGGTGAAGTGGGAGGAATATGGTTGCGCAGACTCAGGTATCAGGTCACAAATCATCAAACCTTCGCTGTGCTTAGGGCAGTATCAAGTCTATGGAACACGGGCGTGTGTCAGCCTGCTTGAGGCTGGCAATGGCTGGACGTGTCTTGCCCAAAAGTGGGTCCTTGTTTTGGCTTGATTTGGCTTGAGGGCTTGCTCAAGCTAGAATCTAGAATGTTGATGGTCTTGCAGCCTTGCAGTGAATTTAGTAGCAGTGCAGACAAGTGAGTGGATTTCAAGTGCAACGGAATCTAACCCACCTTAGACCATAAGGTGGGGAGGTCAAGGATTCCAAGGTATGCTTCACATTGGGCTTTTTGAGTGAGATGATTGCAAAGATGATCATCCAGGGCTTCTTCGTCTACTTCAGATTCTTGCTGCATTGGTGTTCCCGTGCTTTCTTGCTCCCGGCTTTTTTGATGGCTGAAGCACAAATCCTGCTAACGATCCGATTGGCCATGCACCATACAGTTTCAAGGAGATCAATGGCACTGGCTAGATTGTGGGCTGGTCTTCTTTGCTGCTTGGCATTTGAAGGTCCCCTCGGAGAAGCATCTACATGAATGCCTTGTAACTTTATTGTATAATTACTTCCTTTGAGTCGCAGATTGGAGGTACCTATGGATGGGAGACGTTTTGATGAAACGTGGTGTGCCCTGGGTGCCTAAACTAGTGAATGCACCACCACAAATTCTAGATCGGACCTCGCCTCTTGTTTCGTTCAATATCCGTGGCTCCCGCAAGTTGATAAGCTCAGGCAGAACTTAAGGCCTTCTTGGCCGCATGAAACCAATGATACTGCCCAAACAAGGCCCACTCGGCACATTAGGCATAATTTTCCAAAACCCCAAGCCTGAATCAATGCAGCCCCAGAGATTGCAAGTGAAAATTGTGGGAAGCCTCGCGTGGACAGGCTGATTGCCTTCTCTTCTTGATGAGGGATGCACGCTCTGTAAGCGAGTAATGTCTCAGTTTCTTATAAAGGGGGTGGCCGTAGATTGAAAGGGCTCTTGGCTTGTACAGACAGGCAGTAACTTGGAAGTCTTGCGTACCGCACATGTGTATAGTTAGTTGTAAATTGTGGATCTAATGCAGAGCTGAAGTCAAATTGTTCTAGTCATGTTAGGGTACTTTGGCAGTAATCGAAGTTCTGGTCTTGCCTTCCAAGGATCTTGTTCAAACTGCTTCGAGCTGAGTCAAGAAGGTGTTTATGGATGTGTTTGCAAAGTTCAGAAGCGCTCTCTGTTTGCCAAGGTCATGTGGATTGCATCCGTGGACACAGCAAGTGATGCCTTTGCGCTCGCACGGGTGGTCAGGCGAGTGCACAGGGGGCACTCACATTGGTGTCACTCACATTGGTGTGCAGCTTTAGAGGCTTAGACAAGGTTGCTTTAGAATGCAACGCGTTTGCATGTCAGCAGTTTTCAATGTCCAAGGCCCGTACAAGTAGAAAGAACAGATAAGATTGATACATATTCTTGCCTATTTGTTATTCTTGCTTAGCTAGCTTAGCTTATGAGGTTTGCTTAAGTTTCTTCGCCTACTTGATTGGGTCGTTCCCATTTCTACAACTCAGCAATCCAAGCTCTCCTACCTAACGGATTTTCATCATCCATTTTGGGCCTTTGAGTGGAAGATTTGATGGCAGGGTGGCGCGGCTCAGTCGCATTTGTCGCGTCCTCCGGGTCTCCTTCTCACAGGATCGTGAACAGCGGTTGCCTAAATGTGACAACGCTTGCCATTCGATACCACCACGTCTTGTTGAATAAGAATGGTTGCCTTGCTGTTTCACCCTTGCAGAACTTGGTGCGAATGACTAGCGCCATTGCAGGCAAGGATGTTGTCAGATGACAAAGGTTGAAACTTGGTGTTGTATCATGATGAGTTTTGGCAGGTTCTTCCTTTTCCCAGTCTTTGCAGGTTCTTTAACCACGATCCTGTGGGGCTCAATACTGTTGATCCTCACGGTCTATGTGGCTTTGGCTGCAGAGAGAGCACAGGGTGTTGCCACATTCAACTCATTTGCGCACAAGTACTTGGAATAGTTGAGGCCAATAGAAACATGCTAGCACAGCAGCTGCACCTGAGGTGATGGCCATAGGCGAAGTGCAGACACTTTTGAGCAAGCAGCAGCAAGACAGTGATGCGACGGAAGTGGTGTTTAGAGCGGCTTTTGTTTGATGTCTATTGTGATCGTGTCTGCAGTCTTCCGAGAGACCGTCGGCAGAAGTGACCTGCAGTACGAGGACCCGAGATGCTTCCAAATTCGCGCTTTGGTGGTGCAAGACTTTTGATGATAATGTAACAGTGACGTCTGGCAGACAACCGGAAAGTACTTTGACTCAGTGCCCAGATCTGCCTTGTCCTCAGATGCCTTCCGATATCGGATGACCAAGACTCTCAATCTCAAGTCAGTATCTCAATCTCCGTTCAACCTGGGAACCGAGACTCTAACACTTTTCCGCTGTGCTTTTGGAGAATGTCACTCAGCTGCACCTCATCACTCACCGTGCGGTTTCTTTGTTTTTGTTGGACAGTTACATTGAAGTGGACAGGTACAACCAATACGGGGTATCCTATTTTTGAATACATCAATGATTTCCACGGAGTACCTTGGCTGCAGTTGTTTGGTGGCATTGCCTGCTGCAATTTGCTGCTTTTGCTGTCTACAAAGAGTTCGGCCATTTCTTATGATGATACCCTCTCCTCACATCGCATCCCTTGCGTAGCGCAAGCTTGTATGAGGTCGGACTTGTTGCGGCTTGGGGACGCTTGGCTGTCATGCTGATGCTTTCAATGTGTTCCAGGTGTTCTAGATGCAATTGATTTGAGAATCTATTCTTGTAAGGGTGCTTCCCTTCAAAATATTCGAAAGGTTCTACCAGGGAATTGATGCCCAGTAAGGATAGTTTGCGCATTCTTTGCGCAGTTGGTCTTTCGCTGTCACTGCTTGCCCCAGGATGCTTTATCAGTTTCGTCATACTAGGTGCGTCTTGGGTTTCTTGAACACTGTCCACCGCAGAGTGGAATGGCACATTCACTGTATGAGGCCTCTTCAATGTTGGAAACTGAGGAAACAAGGACAGAATTCGTGGGAAGAGAAGCGGTTTGTCATGCCTCTCACTGGCCACCGGTCTCAAGGTCATCACCTCGATTTTCATAGAAAAGATGATGGTGGCACCATTCTCAGCATATCTCAGAGTCTCCGTTGTTTCATCCGAGTCAGGGTCAGAGGATTGTGCATTGAGGCTGCGCACAAAGAGGAGAAGACAGAACAGTCAAAGCGATTAATGGATGAATCTCTTTGGGCCACACGGAGCCTGGGCTGGCGAAGACCCGCTTCGGACGGAATTGGTGAGGCCCCCGCCTTCGGATGTGGTTTCTCACAAAGCCGCATAAAAAAGCGGCATAGCCGCATAGCTTATCTTTGCTTACTCTTTGCTTGCTTGCTACTACTAGTAAAGCCCTTGTTACTAGTAGCGATGCCCTTGTTACCAGTAGCTGTGCATAGCCTTTGCCTACTTGCATGATCTTGCATGCGTGATCTCCAAATCACGCAACTCTGAATCAGTTGTTTTCCACGCAAACACCATGCGCCAACAGGATCAATTGTGAAACTACAAATTTGCATCAGCAGGAGTGTATCATCTTTACCGCTGGCCCTGCCACACCCCTGGTCTTCTTTACATATCTCGTCAAATTTTACATTGGTCGTCCCTGGTTGAATTGGTGCTTAGAGTCTTAGAAGAATTCCAGCAGCATGCAGCAAGCAACACGGCCTGCTTTATCTTTTGCTTCATCCTTTTCACCGTCGATTAAGTGCCAGTTTTGGATGAACAACCAAATTATATATCAGGGGCAGTGTTTGAGGTAGCTCTCCTAGTGTTGAAATGTATGAATCGAGACATTCGGATTTAGCCATTTTTGTGTCCAAACAAAGATGGCTGTAATTTACAACTCAGGATCGCAAAGCTCCTCCGTGTGGTCTGGCGACTTGTTGCCGCACAGCAGCATTGGCATCAAAAGCTCTCTGCGACACACTGTGAGAGAGAGCATTGCTGTGAACATGAAGGTTCTTGAGAGGGGGGGTGCATGTCACAGCCCTGCTGATGTTGCCTCAACTTTAAATGCAAAGGTTTCTAAGGCTGAGTTCTCCTTGCGAAAGCACTTGCAAAAACCAGGATTTGGCACTTGTGGCATCTTAGGATCCCCAATGGGATGGCGAGCTCTCTGAGGATGTTGAAAGCAGCTTGGATGCAGATGCAACAACTGCACATTTTCAGCGGGTCTAAGCCCAACGCGGCTTTGTTCAACCAAGACATGCTTCTCAAGGGGCGTACTAGTCCTCCGATCGCCGCAGGCCTGTTAGAAGTTTCACTCTCTCCAAAGGAGTTCCATGCACTCGTGAAGGAGAGGAAATGATTTCTGGTGCTTACATGAGACTCGACGGTTTTTGGCCTTGTGGACATCGTCAGACTGTGAACTCGGGACAGAATTGCGAGGACGAGTATGCAGCGAAGGCCCTCGATGAACTCGATGTTAGTCGGGAGGACCCGGCTTTGTGACTTGCGCGGGGAGGCGTGTCGAAGAAATATTCAAAGACCTAAGTGTGGCCGTTCCTTGCAGGACCATGGCTTCCTTTGCACAATCCTGGATCCTGAGAACCGCAAGGTTCAAAAGTCAGCTGGGTGCGTTGCAAAACGACGATGAGTTGCTATGCAGGCTGTGAGTGTTCGTGAAATTGTACAAGGCGACGTTGAGACTTGCAGAGGAAACATGATCAACGCATGCATGATACTGCTCTGGCTGGTCATGTGCCAGCAAGACTCACGATTGTTTTTCATGCTTTTTCTGAACCTTTGCAAATCGATTCCCGAATAGCTTCCATTCACAGCAATTCAGGTATTCAAAGAATTCGTGGTGAACCTCGCAGAAGCGACATTGCTGGGAGTCTCAGAGACGGATCCAAAATCCCTGGTTGTTCATTTCATTCTTGATTGCGACTAGTAGCTCCTGGCATTACTACTAGCAGCAAGAAGCTACTAGGAACAAAGGGCATCGCTACTAGGAGCAAAGAAGCTACTAGGGGCTCCTGGCCTCGCTACTAGGAGCCAAGGCGCTACTAGGGGCTCCTGGCATTACTACTAGCAGCAAGAAGCTACTAGGAACAAAGGGCATCGCTACTAGGAGCAAAGAAGCTACCAGGGGCTCCTGGCCTCGCTACTAGGAGCCAGGACGCTACTAGGGGCTCCTGGCATTACTACTAGCAGCAAGAAGCTGCTATATAGTTCTGGTTTTTCATTTCACACTGATGCACGATAACCAGTCTTCAACCTTCAGGTCGCAGTTGGTCTCGTGGTCCGATCCATAAAGACCCAAATGGGTGTGCTTGCAACAGAGCTTCGAGAACTGAAGGTGAGCTGAGCACATGAAGAGAACTCTCTTTGGACTTCTCAAAACATTGCTCTTCCCAAAAATGCTTTCAGGAATGTTCCAGGGACAACTTGAAGCTACTGACCTCCTTGGCCAAGGGAGAGGTGAGGAAGACCTCGCTTCCAGTTCAACTTGTGGTTTCGGATGACTTTGTTGCCCTTGGTCCAAACATGTCCAAACAGTATAGGCTAGGCTGTTGCTTTTTGGAGGTTTCGCGGTACAAGTGTGCTCAGAAGCAGAACAGCTAATGCCGAGACCTGAGTCAGAATGGACATTACAATCAATATCAATCACATGAACATAGAGAAATTGCAGGAACCAGCCGTGCCGAAGGCATTTACTGAATAATGACAGCAAATAGAATTGCTTGTTCGCAATTCTTTTAAAATATTATATAACTTGATTTGATATGCGTGAAGGATTTTTTGGAGATAACCTTTAAAAACATGACTAGTCGATCGAAGATCGCGGTGTCACGAATCGACTGTTGAGTCTCGGCGCAAGAGTCCCCTCTTTTCAGCCTGTAGAGGGGTCTAGCTACGCCGCGATGGATCTCGAGGACGACACAGCGCTGATCTGCAGTCTATCCGGGCTTTCAAACTCGCAGACAAAGGCGCTAGAGATGGCTGGTTGGAACGTGATGCGACTAGCCACGTTGGTCGGGTGTCCTCGAGAGATGTTGGAAGCTGTTCGATGGAGAGTGCAGGAGAAGGTTGAAGGCTTCGACATTCGAATTGAAGATTTGAGAGAGCTAGCCAAACGATCTCCTAGGCACAAATGGGATGCAGTGCGCGGTGGCCAGGAATTGCTAGATGCTCACATTGCACATCAAAGACGAGTTAGGAGGAAGACCTTCGACGATGTGGTCGAGGAGGACGTGGTTGCCAGGGTCTCATTGGTTGGAAGCTAGCTAGATGGCCCCCCAGCTCCACACCTCACCAGGAGGGGGAAGGCCCGGTTCCTGCCTGCATGCTGGAAAAGTTCTTGTAAGAACGGCTGTGAAGCAGTCCATATGGCTTCGACACCTGGAATGCTTGGGCTAAAGCCCCGAAAAGCCAATATGATCCGATATTTGCGCGCTACTCGAGATGCGAGATCTGAGATTCGGGAGTCGAGATCTTGCATCCGAGATTTGAGAGCCGAGAATCCAGAGATGCGAAAGACAAGGCTCGCGATCCGAGATTCGACGTGCGAGATTCGCGATTCGAGATCCAAAATCTGAGATTCGAGATACGAGTCTTGAGATTTGAGATGCGCGATTCGGGATTCGAGATCCGAATTGCGGGAGTCGAGAGCCTCGCGGTCCAAAATTCGACATGTAAGATTCGCGATTCGAAAGCCGAGATTCGGGCTTCGAGATCCGAGTTCCTAAATTTGAAAACCGAAATTGGAGATTTAAACATTAATATCTGGGATTTAAAGTTCAAAATTCATGCTTTTGGTTGGCGCCGGGAAATTGATCATATATTACGATAAGGCCTACCAACAACATGCGCGTGCGCGCAATTCGGCCAAGCCAAAAGCCTCAAAAATCTGCCAAGGTTATTGGATTTTTAGCGATGACATTTTTCACTTTGGCGCAGCGGAAAGGAGCCGAAATATATAATTGGATTATTTTGGAAGTTTTAAATTTTCGTTTTCCAAAAGCAGTTGACTATTTTGGGATTTTTTTCTCGGCGCCTATGTCGAAATAGTTTGATTACTTTGGAATTTTCGTTTTGCTCTCCCCGCTGCTACCACTAGGCAAAAGCATGATGCTTGTTCGACTCCTCCCAGGTCGATGGAAACATGAGTATGTAGCTGGTGATTTTGAGGTATGGCGCAACACTGCAGAGATTCATACGCAGGTGAACCCATAACAGATTCTGCCAAGCAGTTACAACCATACAAAGTCATGTATTGATATCCAATGTCCACTCAGGTATTCGTATTTAATTATCTAATGTCCAATCCATAGTGAGTATTTCAGTGTAAGCCGATAAGACCCGGTTCACCCGATTGTTGTTTTAAACCAGGCTGGCTATCCAGTTTTGAGCCGGGTCAGATTCCAATATGGCTCATGTTTGCCCAAGTGTGCCTGTGGTTGTAGCCCTCTTGTGATGTCACGCACTAACTTGCGCAGAGTTGTCTTTGTCCAAGAGACCAAGTTTTTCTGTCGACTGCCCACCACCTGGCAACCTGGTTGGGGCCGATCGCTATGTGCAGAGAGCTCACCAGGAGGGGAAGGCCGGGGGCGATTGTATTCCTGCCTGGTAAGAACGGCTGTGAAGTAGTCCATATGGCCTCGACACCTTTGTTGCTTGGGCTAAAGCCGCGAAAAGCCAATATAATCCGATATTTGCATGTTATTCCAGGTGCAAGATTCGAGACGCGAGATTCGAGATCTGAAATCGGAGGATTCGGGATTTGAGATCAGAGATCCGAGAATCGAGGCCCGAGATTCGAGATGCGAGATTCGGGATTCGATATCCGAGATCCAAGCCTCAGGAGTGGAGTTCCTAGATTCGATATGTGAGATTCGAGATCCGAGGTTCGCGACCCAAGTTCCGAGATTCGAGGGGCGAGTGCCGACACGAAATCCGAGAATCGAGGTGCGAGATTCCAGCTTCGAGATCCGAGATTCGAAGCGCGAGATCCGAGATTTGAGATGCGAGATCCGAGATTCGAGATCCGAGATCCGAGATTCGAGACGCGAGATTCGAGGCTCGAGATCCGAGATTCGGGATTTGAGATCCGAGATCTGCGATTCGATTTGAGATTCGAACTTCGAGATCCGAGATTGGAGATCCCAGATTCGAAGTGCGAGCCAAGATTCGAGGTCCGAGATTTGAGATGCGAGAGCCGAGGTTCGCGATCCGAAATTCGAAACTCGGGGTCCGAGATTCGGGACTTGAAAATCGAGGGTTGAGATTTTCGAGATGCGAAAATCGAAAATCGAAATATTAAATTCATAATTTACACGGGAAGAATTTATGGACGATTTAGATTTTAAATTAACGACGGAACTACTTCCGATGAAGAGGATGGAGATGGCAGCTACAGGGTCAACAGCATGGCTGAAGAAACAACAATGCTGAAGGTGAGTATGGATTCAGGGACAGCCGCCTCTATCTTTTCTAGGAAAGCTCGTCGAAAGAACCAGAGGAGCTGATCAAGTTTTGGGAGCAGCACTACAACTGCAAGGGGCTGGAAGATCCAGAGTTATGGCCACAAGGATGTTGACATCGTGCTGATGATATCTGCAGGTCAATCTGTGGCTTAAAAGAGAAGGTGATCTTCAGCGACATGGTGAATCATTTGCCTTTAGCGTTTCAGAACCGTGCGTTGGTGGTTTGCTTGGTTGAGTGAAGAGTGGATGAACCTAGCTGGCAGTGGCCCAATTCCGGAGTCCACAATTCATCCTGGCTTCAGACCACTAAGCTAAGGCAGGCGTGGAGATGGCAGAGCCTTTTCACAAACTGGAAGAATAGGAAGAGGCAATCGGAATTTCGAGAAGTGGGCTGATGGGACAATTCTAAGCACAAAATGAGGAGATGGAGGAGCTTGGAGGCATCGAGATTCTTGGGGGAGAAGAAGATCATGATCCAGGACATGACTTGGAGGAATAGATGGTGCGGTATGAGGTTGCTGTGGCCCTCGTAGAAGAGACTCGTGTGAATGAGATCCGATTGCTAATAGTCCTCTACGAAATTTGAAAAATACAATATATATATATATAATTAAATATTTATTTGAAAAGAATATTTTACTTATTTTTGAAATTATGTAATAACGATATCGAAAATAATATATATGGATATAGAAATTTATATATATATATATATTTTTTTTTTAAAAAAAAAATAAAAATATAATTATGGAAATTATATGTAATTGGATATTTTAATTTATTAATCGGTTTTATTATTTATTTTTTGATTTATTTTTGCAAAAATATATAATTAATATTATATAAATAATTTTTTTTAATTTATTAAAATAAATTTAAGTTATATTTTCTATTTTTTATATTTAAATAGATTATTTTAAATAATATAGATTTATGAAAATTACAATAAAAATATTTATTGATGAATTTGGTTTTTAAAATATATTAATTTAAAGAAATAAGAAACACAATTATAATAGAAATATAAAATATTTATTTAAAAAAATATATTTATAACGAACAATTACAAAATTAAAAAAATTATTTAATAATATAGTAATAATTAATATATAATAAAAGGATACGATTAAATAATTATAAATTTAATAAGAATATAATAAAAAAAAATGAATATTAAAAAATAATACGTAAAAAATAATTATTACGATTTAATATTATAAAAAAAAAATAAAACAATTAATTTATTATTAACATTGGCACAAATAAGTATAAATACATAATTATTGTGCAATTTAGCATTATTTAATTAATATCCATCCGTTAATATTTAATCTTCTATAAAATTTTACAAGTATTAATAACGCCGATTATTAAAATTCCGATGCTCGTAATTAATATAAATCTAATAAATTACCATAATAATATATACGAACATTTATAGAATTAATATAAAATCTATAATCGAATAAAAATATACGGATTTTTGAAGTAAAATATTTAAAATAATCGGATTATTTCCTACATTTTTGCATTTTTATCTTTAGTCTTAGCTCCCTCATAATTGGTTTACGATTTCCGTCGCGGTCCGAATCACTCCCTAATAACTATTTTATTTTATATATTTCGATTTCTAAAAATAAAAAATAAACTAACTATTTTATTTACCTTGCTTTCGGTCTAAAGCATGTATCACTAAGCAATTACGCTACGTTCCGACGCCGTCGATCGCGGATTCGAACCCCGTATGGTCTACCATAAATAAGCTTAATTCATTTCGAATTTATTCGCAATAACCGATCCTGGATCCATATTCCTCATTTCGACGTACTTATCGAACATTTCTTGGATACGTACGCCAAAAGCTTTCCGCTGCAACGTTCGGACGCGTGCACAAAGGAATATAAAATGTTATTTTTAATAGCTATATACGTAAACGCGTCGTAAATTCAATACTTACATTTAATGCTCTAATAAAATACATTTATAAAGCAATATTATATTAATAAAAATCTAAATTTATTTAATAAATATAAAGAGATTATAAATAATCTTCTATTCGAGTTGCCTTTTACAGTTTCAAAAAAAGGACGTAATATTTATTGGGAATTGTAAAACGACTTCGTACAATCTAACATTATCAAATTATAAAATGGTTTTTACAAATATTATATACGTCGTATAATATTATATATAAATTAAAAATATCTTCTTACACAAAAGCATTATAAAAAGAAAAATATTTCTTTGCAAGCACGAATTAGGTTTTCTCAAAATTAACAATGCCCTCATCAATTCGATTTTC